ACATTCACATCGATTTCGATTTCGTGGCAGCCAATCACAGTCCGGTCCAATCAGTAGCTCGAGCAATTAGATTCTGGAGTCAATGCTTACAACTCTTTACAATGAGCATCTTTGCGTACCATCCCTTTCTCCTTTTACTACATTATAATAACGTTAGACAATTATGGCGACGCTTCGGAAAATGTGCTTTGACTTTGGAGTGCTGGGTTTGGAAGCAAGTGCCACTTCTAGGATGAAACTCTTGCATGAGAGATTGATTGGACATCACATCGGATATGCATGAAAAGACGATGAGAGAGGAGTGTCATGTATATCTTCAACTTCAGAAAGTCAAGGACAAGATTTGAGAGATTGAGATTGACTCGATATACTTCTGACTTTCTAAAGATGTGGCCGGGAATCGTGGCGCCGCGCACCGTCCTCCCCTCGTGTGCCACAGTTGTGCGTGAGCACTAGACTCGATCATTTTTATATACGAAGCTCAAAGGCCAGCTTTGATTGATTTTTGCTAAGTTTATCAGCCGCCTCACATTATATAATCCTAAATTGTTTTGACTTATTGGCACATTTCGATCGGCCTAATTCCAAAAAAAACCCCAAACTTTACACTTTGTCCCAATTATACCCTGAACTTTTTTTTGTCTCAAGAAAAACCTCAAACTTTTCTCCAAGTCCCAAATCTACCCTACTTTTATAACTCCATCCAATTAACGTCAGAAAAAAAAAAAAAAAAAAAACAGAACCAGCGGCTGCGGCGCGGCCAAGCCTTCGCCGGTGGCCGCCGCCACAGCCGCCGGGAAGGAGCGGCGGCCCTCGCCAGGCCTTCCCGAAGGCCGGCGACCCTCGCCGGCCCGGGCGAGTCGCCGGCGAGGGCTCGCAACCCCCGATCCGGGGCGAGGGTCGCGCCTCCCCCGGATCGGGGGGCTGTGGACCCTCGCCGGCGACTCGCCCGGGGCCGGCGAGGGTCGCCGCCCGGGAAGGCCCAGGCAAGGGCCGCCGACCCAAGGCGAGGCCTCGCTCGGGCCTTCCCAAAGGCGGCGACCCTCGCCGGCCCGGGCGAGTCGCCGGCGAGTCTGCAGCCCCGATCCTGGGGAGGCGCCTCGCCCCGGATCGGGGCTACGGACCCTCGCCGGCGACTACGCCCGGGCCGGCGAGGGTCGCCGGCCTCGGGAAGGCCCGGGCGAGGTCTCGCCCTGTGGCCGTCGACCCCGGCGAGGTCTGCGGACCCGATCCGGGGAGGCGCGACCCTCGCCCCGGATCGGGGCCGCAGACCCTCGCCGGCGACTCGCCCGGGGCCGGCGAGGGTTGCCGGCCTTCGGGAAGGCCCAGGCGAGGGCCGCCGCTCCTTCCCGGCGGCTTTGGCGGCGGCCACCGGCGAAGGCTTGGCCACGCCGCAGCTGCTGGTTCTGTTTTTTTTTTTTTTTTTTTCTTGACGTTAATTGGACGGAGTTATAACGATAGGGTAGATTTGGGACTTGGAGAAAAGTTTGAGGTTTTTCTTGAGACAAAAAAAAGTTCAGGGTATAATTGGGACAAAGTATAAAGTTTGGGGTTTTTTTTGGAATTAGGCCCATTTCGATCCTCGAAGTTATCCTCCACTAATTTATGTTTTTATCGGGGTTGATGCACATCTCTCATAGGACTTAAACTAGAGGACGTTCCATTATTGGCCTCTTAGATTTAAGCCATTAGTTATATAGATACGCACCAGGCGTGTGTTTATCATAAATATTATTTAGAGATGTTAGTTCAAAAAAGATATAAGTTATCGATTGTTTTATTGTAAATTATGTATCTTTGACCATAATATAAATTTTGATAGTTTGGTATGCGATAATTTATTCCGGGTACTACATACCTTTTTAGGCGTAGGACTGGTATGTACACAAGTATTCTCTTTTGAGACATTTTTCTCAGCGCTTAAATAAATTTACATAAAACACACATCGCTTGATTGAGCATTGTATTTTTCAAACTAACTTTATAAGTTGAGGATGTTTCTAAGAGAAATCATGTGTGCATTCATAGGAATCGTACACAAATCAGAATTTAGCTTCTCTGAAACCGTCAGAGCCATATGAAGCTTCGTCCCAACTTGGCTCACGAAATGGTCATCTTCTCTCACTATTATGAGAACAGTCATCGATCATCTTGTAACTAAACATATCCTAGGAAGGATCCGAATGCATTAAAATAATGCCATTGTCTGATCGCATCGGGAAAAGAGAACTTTGAACAAGACCCACAAGCCAAGTTCAAAGGGACAAGTTCAACTTGATGTTATATATCTATACATATGTGTGTTTCAAGGATTACTTAATTCTCTTTCGTGCAACCAAGTGGGATTCCATATTTCCTGTAAAAGGAAAACCCATCTGAGCTCTTTCACCTCGTACTTCATCCTTTGCCTTCGCCCCTCATACTTCCTTTCGTAATACAATAGCCTAATTCCATACATCATCATCACAAAAAAAGAATGAATGCTAGGAAAGGTCATTTGGTTTTATTAGTAACTCTTCTCTTAGTTGTAGCGTGCAATGCAGATGGTGAATTGAGGAAGAACTTCTACAAGAAGAGTTGCCCTCAAGCTGAGAAGCTTGTGAGGGACATCACTTGGAGCAAGTCCCAAGCTGACCCTACTTTGGGTGCTAAGCTTCTCAGGCTGCACTTCCACGATTGTTTTGTCCTGGTAGCAAATTCCTAGATATCCCCACAGTAGATTCCCAGATCGAAACATGTCAAGAGTAACCACAGTCTACGAGAAAAATTGTCGACTTTTCTTCTTTATGGTGTGTGACTTGAGATTTCTGTCAACCTATTTAAAAGCTTAAGTCGTCATTATGCGATTAATCATCTTCGCTTGTTGAGACAGTAGACGGGGAACGTAGTTCTCTAATTGCTTTAAACTTTTATACTATTAGGACGTTAACATATCTGAACCGTTCGGCATGATTCATGCTTCACATCATAAACGTCCGGACTCACCGAGCTCAACTCTCCATGTGATGAGTTAGGGCTTAAGAAGGTATTACATTGTATTTGACATTATTAGAGAAAAAGTTGCATTGAATTTCTCTTTAATCACATCAAGGGTTGATGAAATTGGCGAAATAATTATTTCTTAGGGATGCAAGGGATCTGTACTGCTGGACCCTGTGGGGACAAACGAGTCCGAGAAGAATGCAGTACGAAATCTCACCGTGGGTGGTTTTGATGTTATTGATGACATCAAGAAACAACTTGAGCAAGCTTGCCCTAACACCGTCTCTTGCGCCGACGCTCTTTCTTTGGCCGCTCGGGATGCCATCTCTTTCCCTGTAAGAAAATCTGCCTGATTGATTGTCTAAAACCATAAATTTCTTCACTGAAAATGGTCGAAATATAAGGTCTAAATTTTCATTCGAACACGATGGCGTGAATTGCAGTTTAAGAAGCCGATGTGGGATGTGTTGACGGCAAGAAGAGACGGCAACGTTTCATTCGTCCAACGTCGCTGGGAACATTCCATCTCCTTTCGCAGACTTTAGTACCCTCGCACAAATTTTCTCCAAGAAAGGTCTCAATGTAAACGATCTCGTCGTTCTCTTAGTAAGCCGACATGACCATTTTGATTTATACTGTTTGCAAATTTTTTTTGGGATGGTCGAATTAAGATTTCATGACTTACATCTGGATTGTTAGAAGCTAATTTAAGTACATAACTGACATCCTGCCTTCAGTTAGACATTGCACGATGTATAGTGAAATCATCTGTACCTTTGCTCCTTGATTACGTGCACATACCATTGGAGTTGCTCCTTGTGGCACATTTTCTAGGAGGCCCTACAACTTCGCTAGGAAAGGAGACACCGACCCCTCTCTGAATGCCACCTACGCTGCATTCCTCTGGACCCAGTGCCCTAACCCGGCCAACCCGGCTATGACGGTGGAAATGGATCCGCAAAGCTCGCTCTCCTTCGATAGCCATTACTTCGATATTCTCATGGAAAATGAGGGATTGGTCCAATCTGACACCGTGCTCTTGACGAATCAAGGCGCGGCCCAGGTGGTGCAGCAGCTTCGGATGCCAGCCGCGTTCTTCTCCGAGTTTGGCAAGTCGATGAAGAAGATGGGGGCCATTGAGGTGCTCACGGGAACCGCCGGAGAGATTAGAAAACAATGTCGTGTGGTGAATCCATTGTAAGGGAAGCGATCAGTTGGTGTGTTGCGGGTCATAGTTTCCATCGTTGCTCTTTAACATAATTATTTGCGGTTTAATAATTTGAGAATGTGGTGATGTGTTCTAGGCAAGTCTTAACCAAATAAATTGTAATTGTTGTTCGTTTGATTTTTCCAATACAAATAGTGTACCTCTCTTTTTCTCTCTTGCATATGCGCACAAGAGCTAAATCAGAATTTCCAAAATTTGAACTAATATAGCAAGCACTTAGACTTTCTACATTATCAAAACGTACAAGATGGTGAAATTCGAAAAACCAAATTTAAAGCCCGTTACCTCGTCCTCCTAGCGCTAGTGATCTGATTAAAATGACGAACAAGCATTTCACCACCAACATGCACATCGACGGGAACAAGCTTCCCGCGCTTAACGGAGAATGATTCTTATTTCCCAAGGATGAGCTTTCTCCAACAGATCGTTGCAACATCTCCTGGATATAAATAGAGAGAGAGAAGCGATCACCCTCGTTTTTCTTCAAGAGAGAGCAACTTTGCCCTGAATTGAACTCCAAAGCCACACTTTTCTCCCATTGAGTTTTGCACCTGTCCAAAGGGAGAAGGACTCAGTTCAGGCATTACATTGCTTCAGTCGTCTGAGATATGTTAGAGTTCAAATGATGTTAGTGTAATAAGATCCTGTGGCTAACAATCGATATTGGTATGATTCTGTGGAACAGATCTGGTGACATAAAACGACTTTGGCCATTAATAGTAAGGATCACACGTCTTGGTTCCTTCGCTTTCAAGGAGCTTTCGCTTTCTCTATTCATTGCCATGCAACGTCCACCCCAAAATCTTTCTTGCCCTTCCATTTTCGATAATGGGAAACGAGAAGAAGAAGAAGAAGGAAGAACCCAAAGTGAGTCCACAGTTTTTTTCTTTTTTCCCCCTTTTTTTCCTTAATATTCAAGCATCATGTATGGCGTCATTTCCTTGATAATACATCTTTCCATGGTCAAAGAATTAAATGGAGATTTAAATTTGGTTCTGTACGTAGGTTGTTGTTGTCGAATTCAGAGTTTCAATGCATTGCAACGCGTGTGAAAGAACGGTTGCAAGAACCATTTCAAAGATCAAAGGTCTCTCTCTCTCTCTCTCTCTCTCTCTCTCTCTCTCTCTCTCTCTCTCTTTCTCTGTAAGAAAAATCTTAAGGTGGGTTTGGTGAATCTTCCTACGTTCATGTTGCATGAGACATGCAGATCAGATATAATGACAATGAGAAGGAACAAATTTTCATGTGTGCAGACACTGTTTCTTCTTTTGCGATAATGTAGGGGTAGAGAAATTCTCGACAGATATGAACCAGCACAAGGTGGTCGTGACGGGACGGATCGATCCAAAGAAGGTTTTGAAGAAGTTGAAGAAGAAGACGGGGAAGAAAGTCGAAATTCTGGAGAACAAAGAGGACCAAGCGAACAAAGACGGAGCGGACGACGGGGAAGGCGAAGGAGGATCGAAAGCGTTGGTGGCCGAAGAACAGAATGCGGTTATTCATCCTTCGATGTTGGGTTATTGTTGCGTAGAAAATGAAGTCTTGATGATGTTTAGCGACGAGAATCCGAATGCATGTTCCGTGATGTAGAGAGAGAGAGAAATGAAGTTTTGTACTATATTTAGCGACAAGAGACGATGTTTAGCGACAAGGATCTGAATTAAATCTTTTCAATCTCTTAGTTTGGGCAATGTGAGCATCTCAAATCGAGTTTTTGTGTCGTTACCCGAAACGAACCAATTCAAACTGTACTTGCACTTTATTCAAATCGATAGTTGTTCCAGAGTTATGACTCAATTTCTGTAGTAGACAAATGGCGAAAACATGAAATATCAGATTAACTTCATTGGCTATGGAAGGCGGGTGAGCCTAAATTTGGATATTTGAGCCCAATTATGGAGTACTCTGCAATTTTCTGGTACGAGTATCCCAAAATGAACCATGGATACGAGTTTACTGAAATTATGGATCCGATTAGTGGATTCACTTTAGATTTTTTTGTTCACTTTAGAGGACCAACGGGTTAAAAAAGCCTCACAGCATCACAATTCCGTTACCGGCTCGTCGGAGAATCTCCGACCGGGCAAAACCCGGGCTTGGCTGGCCATTCTGTGGGTGAGCTGAGTCCCGAGAACAACCCCGGAGGCTCGGGCCTAGGCAAACCTGGACAGGGCGAACAGTTGTTACCCCTCAAGATGTGCCCGACCCGAATCCGCCCGGGCTTGCTCAGTGACCGGGTTGGTTGGTAAAATAGCACTCGCCGATTGATAATCATATCGGTCTATCGGCATAAAAGGGGATGGAGCTACTTAGGTGGATACATGAGAATCACTCAAAGCAAAAAACTAAAAGTTCCGACATCCGAATCATATAAAAAGTAAGTATTGAAATCGCATATCTTTTTAACTGTGGAGTTTCGGAATTTGATCTTGTAGAACTAACTCCTCATCAATAATCACTATATCCTCGCCAAAAATCGCTTGCTTTCTACCACTTGGAAATGGCGACAGAATCTGGTATGCAAAAACAAATCTGACCTAAAATAGATTTGATTGCAACTTCACACTCCCATCACCACCTACAATCAATCTTTTTCCCCTAAAGTAGGATCAACTTCCATAGATCTCCTCTAACATTATAGGCTCTATTATTCAGGTATCTGTGTGGCTAATGTCAGTGTAATAGCATATAATTTCTTCAATATTTTAGTTTTCTCTTTTTGTGTAAGTCAATGCTTGATTACCCAAAACCCTAAAACATTGCCATGTAGCATCATCATCCTCATTTGGGTCTTCCAAATAAAAATTTTCTTTGAATTCAATAGGTGCTTTGTCACAGCAATGTATCTATCCTAGGCCCCAAAAAAGAAGAGAAAAAGTTGCTCCACCCTATCATGTATAGCCATGATCTCTCACTTTCCACCCAACAGACAAACCTAAGAGAAAGCTCCAACTTTCCAACTCTCCTGTAATCTATACACCTTACCTAGACAATGCCTCCACAAATCTCTCTTTCCTCTATCCCACCAGCCACAAGGCCCAATCAAAGTAATCCCCACCAACATGCCCAAATTGATTGGACACAAAGGAGTCCAAGTGTCTCTCTTTGCGGAGGCAAGTCTCACTTGTTGTTCCACTAAACTCTCTCTCTCTCTCTCTCTCTCTCTCTCTCTCTCTCTGGGCTACTAGACATCCTCTAATGGCAGACAAGAGCATGCACCAGGCCACAACCAAGCATTCAAAGCATATATTACCGACCTTCATTTTTAAATGCTTTCTTAGGCCTTGATTGTCTAATCATCCATCACGTTCTTTGTCCTTGCTTATGAATCTGTACAATGCTGGCCCATTAACAGAGAAGGTTTCCAATGCTTGTCAAAAACAGAAAAGATAATCTTTTTATATTTCTGAGTAGCATAATATGGATTAATAAGATCATAAGACTCACTATCATAATGGGAATCACTATCGCATTCTCTTCGTGTCAAATAACCCTCTTAGGAAATCATCTTAAGTGATACCGATGAAGAAAGCAACGTATTAACAATCCTTGTTTGGATGATATTTTTCAGTTGTTTGCAATGTGAAATGAGCCCAGGAAGCAAAAACCGAAGATGGTACCAGTGTAATCTTGTTGGAAAGAGAGAGCATTTTCTCAGTTTTAATTTGAACAGAATCAGCATATTGCCTCTGGCAGTGAAACCAGTAGATCCATCAGGAGTCAAGAATGAGCAGAAGAGACAACGTTGAATATCAAGGGTCTGTATTCTTATTTATCTTTCCTTTATTTGTCACTTTTTTCCCCTAGCATTTATGGTGATGCTCTTCTTATACATGATAAATCGCCCCATTGCAACAATAAGAGCATTACAGATCAGACAAATGATTTGTAACAAGCTATATTGTTATTGTTGCAGCATCCTATTTGTACATGGTATGAGAGGATCCATAACCGAGCCTGCAGGAGAAGTCCTCTATGCCATGATCTCCAAAGCTTCCCTTGTTTTTCCTACTACGTTGAATACAGTTGCTGCGATATGTGCTGGGGTCAGACCGGCTTGAGCCAGTTGGTCGGCAGGCGATCCATGGTCAATGTAGCGATCAGGAAGAACAAGAGGCCTCCACTGCAAAAATGTCCGCATGTGACTTAGGAAAGTACAGGAAAAGGAAGAAACAGCCACCAGAATACCTGGTGGTTCCAGACAACTTTAATCATAATACAACTCAGCCAAAGTTCCGCAATATTTTTTCCTGAAGTTGTAGCATCCATACCTGTACTGTGCCGTCAAGAAGGCCATCAAGGGCCAGGAACTGAGCAACGTGAGACCCGAACCCTCCTATTGAACCTTCTTCGACAGTGATCAAAACCTCGTGCGATTTTGCGAGGCTTCGAATAAGGGCACGATCCAAAGGTTTGCAGAAGCGCGCATCAGCAACTGTTATTTTGAAGCCATGGGGTTCGACCAATGCAGCTGCAGCTAAGCAGCCCTGCACCGCTGATCCATACCCCAAGAGCGCCACTCTCTCTCCTTCTAAAAGTATCCTTCCCTTTCCAATCTGTGGGTGAAAAGTTTTGGCAAGTGATCGAAATGGGAATCAATTAAGGACGGAATGCCAATTTTTTTCAGGGATATGCTTGTTTTTTTCATAAAATAGACAAGAAGATACCTCAAGTGGTGTGCCTTTGTTTCCTGGTGGCAGCGGAACGCCAACTCCGTTTCCTCGTGGGTATCTGAAACAACTTGGTCTGTCGTCGATGGCGGCGGCAGTGGCCACCATGTGGAAAAGCTCTGCCTCGTCCGCAGGAGCCATCACCACCATATTAGGGAGGCATGCCATAAAAGTGACATCGAAAGCACCGCAGTGTGTAGGGCCATCAGCTCCGACCAGTCCAGCTCGATCCATCGCGAATCTAACAGGCAACTTCTGCAGATCAACATCATGTACGACCTGTTGCACAGAGAACAATATACTCTCAAGCCAAAAAAAGGGGAAAATTATAAGATTGCGCAAAGAAGTCAAAGCAGTGGGCTTGCCTGGTCATAAGCCCTCTGCAAGAAAGATGAGTAGATTGCGCAAAAAGGTTTAACGCCTTCGCACGCTAGACCAGCGGCGAAAGTGACAGCATGTTGTTCTGCGATCCCGACATCGAAACATTTGGTTGGGAAGCGGCGAAGGAAGAGATTTAACCCTGTGCCCCCTCCCATTGCAGCATGAATAGCCACAATATCTTTATCTGCTTCCGCTTCTGCAATTAAAGCCTCCGCAAAGTATGTAGTGTAAGCCTGTGTGGCCGCACTTGATTTGAACTGCTTTCCAGTTGCAGGATCAAATTTAACCACGCCTGCAATGATGAAGCTGATAAATTATTGGGCACAAATTTCAGATTCTTAAGGGGACAAAAACAAATGAATGAAATAAACTCTCATAAATTCCTTAAGTCAATTTAGATCCTTACCATGGTACTTATCTGCAGCTTTTTCAGCATAAGGGTATCCTCGACCTTTCTCAGTGACAACATGGATCAGAACCGGACCGGTTGTTTTGGTACTCTTAACCTCTTTGAGAATCGAAACTAGATCATCAATGTTATGGCCATCGACAGGACCAATATAATAGAGCCCGAGCTCTTCGAACAGGGTGGATCCAGATCCACTGATCATCCCTCGCGCGTATTCATCAACTTTTGCAGCCAGTTCGTGCATAGGTCCCCCAATTTGCTTGGTAACACCCTATAATATCAAAGATGGGGATTTTATTTAAATTTATGTCCAAGAGAACAGCAGAAAATGAAAGTCTCGAACTTTAAGAGCAATCACTGCCCTACCTTTGCGACTTCTCTAAGTTCTCTAAGAGGCCTGTTAGATTGTAATCTACTCAAAGCACTGCTCAACGCTCCTACAGGAGGTATAGGCCCATCAAGATTAGCAGTGGGCAATGAGACCTGTTTGTTGTCATTGAGAATGACAATCATATCAGAGTCCAAATACCCAGCATTGTTCATGGCTTCATAAGCTTGACCTGCAGTCATGGCACCATCACCAATGACAGCAACCACGTTATTTTTTCTTCCCTTTAGATCCCTTCCAACAGCCATACCTGTTTGTCGGGAAAAAAAAATCCTCTATTAGAACATAACAAAGGAAAAAAACTATTTGCATTGGAAGTCGAGCATATAGTGAAGTTCTGCAGATCTGTCTGATGTAAGATCAAGTGACAACTTTGTAACTTATAATCATATCAAGAAGAAATTGATCTTAAGTTGAATAATGAAGCATATCGAAAAGTCTGACTCCAGCATAGTATTTATCAGACCGACAATGATATAAACAAAACCAAATCATCATTTCTTATTGAAAAGAGTAGAGTTTTGCAGTCAAATCTTGATCCAAGTGCTTGCGGTGAGTTTCGTTACTCTTAAAAAGTACTGCACCTTAGGATTATGTACTCGATAGAGGCATAAAGAGAATTACCCAACCCTGCAGAGATAGTAGTAGAACTATGACCAGCACCAAAGCAATCGTATTCACTCTCCAAGCGCTTTGTGAACCCTGCCAATCCATTAGTCTGCCTAATTGTGTGCATTTTGTCTCTCCTCCCAGTCAGAATCTTATGTGGGTAAGACTGCATATAGATACCATGTGATCGAAAACCAATTACCATCAAGCTGATCATAAATTTCAGTGAAGTGGAATTTAATCCCAAAAAGGCTGAAACGAGAAAGAAAGCATCTTCGACACCTGATGGCCGACATCCCAAAGGATCCTGTCTTGAGGAGCATTGAAGACAAAGTGAAGAGCCACGGTGAGCTCGACGACACCCAGGCTCGAGCCCAAGTGACCGCCAGTCTTGGAGACATTGAATATGACGTCCGAACGAAGCTCGTCCGCTAGCTGCTTCAGCTCCTACACGGATGATTATGTCCCAAACAAGTTCCGGATTAGAGTCCCCACTAGCAACAATGAGCTCGCTCTATGGATGGAGTATGTAATACGAGGTTAATATGTACCTTGACGGATAGATTTTTCATGTGAAGAGGATAGTTTACGGTGTCCAATAGAGGTGTCGGTGGCCTCTTGGAGTGATACTCTCCCCTTTCAGATAGTGATGCATAAACCCCACCGGGCCGTTTTCTCACTTGGACCTAAACCAGAGAAAAAGACCCAGTTTTACCCCGCATCATTTCCGGGAAAATAACAAGCTGAAATTGACAATAACACCAAAAACCACATATGCAAGATAGGTGACGAAGCATTTATAATGAACTTTAGCTTAACCCATTCCAGCAAAAGCTTCAATGGAAAGACATCAGAGATTGGAAGATGAAAAATCATATCCTCAAGTTTTGCAAGCTATGACTTTTGTTTCGTCAATCTCCGAGAGGGCAAACAAAAAAACCAAGAAATAGCAAAGCAGCAGAGCAAAAGTGGTAAAGACCTGAGCGAGGTTGTGCTGCGATTGCACCAGCAGATCTGAGCCCCACACAAAATGAGAAGAAAGAGAGGCATTTCTCTGAGCATCTGAAGCGGCGGCACGGTTGACATGGCCCGGGAACGAGACTGCACAGAGAGCCATATCTACTGATGCAGGAAGGGACCAAGGAAGCGAAAAACGGGGCCTGAGCACGAAGCGAAAGGCAGAGGGATCCAAGAACCACGAATTTGTACCACTACAGCCTCAAGAAACGGAGACCCAGAAGAGAAAACGACCAACCCAGATTTCCGGGTAGCAGAGAAAACGAGAAGCCAAAAAGATGAAAGTGGGTGCGCGCATGAACGAACGAATGAATGAATGGTCGAGCGTTTACTCTGTAGTTGCCACTAAGTGATTTGGCGCTAATAGTGGCAAAGTTGGTGCACAAATTAAGAGGGTACGTGCGGTTGATAGGCTCCAGGGAGAGAAAGAGAGCGAGCGAGCGAGCGAGCGAGAGAGAGAGAGAGAGTTACTGGGGAGTGCTTTCTGGTAAGCTTCTTTAATCCAAGGCCCTGTTCTTTCATTGCTCCTTGCACATTTAAAGTAGCCCACTATACAGTGACATGCAACTAAAGCTAGGATGGCTGGTTCATCCCCATTGGGCCACGTCGACAGAAATCACCAACGGATCAGATAGATAGACATGTCGGTCTATGTATTGGACGTGTAATGTCTCTGATCCAACGCATGTGTCTTGCTCTGGATCTGTTTGGTAAGTGGTGTACCTCTATCCCTTTCGCCCTATTTTCTCTCGAGGCGGCGTGTCTAGCTTGACTTTTGCTGTGTACTTTTCTGCAGCGCTCGAGACTTTCACTAGTTACGAATGTTATGTTTTCATCACTTCGATTTCGAAATTTGGGTACCATTCTAAAATTTGACGGAGAAGCAAATCCAAGGTGTTTCCATATCGTTTTGAGAATTGTCCTGGTGTGAATAGTATGTTCCTGTTTTCTCCTCCTGTTATATCATAGTGTGTAAATATTAAAAACCCACATGATTCATCCCTAATTGTCTGGGGACCTCGTGATTTATGCGAACGATTGTGATATCACCAGCAGGCATGCTTTGCTTCGCACACTATAGATCCAAGTCATATGAAGGGGATTACATGTCCTCGTAAGAAGCTTCTAATTGCGTTTAGTCACAATGATATACGGAAGAAATTAAACTTGTAAATCAGAATGCTACAGCGAAATTGGCCAAACGAGACGAAGAGGCAACATTAACATTGAGAAGTAAACTATACATATCCATCTCCAAATATCATCGCACACGTCGCGTGGATATGGATAGAAATGAAATGACACTTGACATTTGCAGATAAGAAGCGGCGAGGAAACTTTTCTCAGGGTATGTTGATAATCCAATTCCACAACCCACTTGGAACTTTTTAGGATGGATGATAGTCTTCCAATCTCAGCTGTCCCTATTTCCAATTTGCACACTTTGATACCATCCTGTAAAAAAGTCATAAAGTTGGCATTTTCTTGGACGTCAAAGCACCCTGAAGAACAGGATAGTTTTATCTTTAAGTGAAATCCCTGGGTAAAACGAAGAGGCCTACCATGGGTGATGACTTTGTCCCATAGAAGAACTAGTTCCAAAAATTTTACTTGAAGCAGTAAAAGTAATATGCAAAGCTTTCAACAGTACGGGGGAGGGAGAGAGAGAGATTCTTAATACACAAATTGATATCAACCAATCTGTCATAAAGATCCAGGCATATATTATAGAGAATTTCCAAAGTATTGACCACCCAGAATGAGAACAGAATTCCAATTTATGTATATAAGCATAGCGCATGCACTCGCTAAATGAGGGATTTCCAAATGATTTCTCGAGAAACATTTTGGTCTTGTAATCTTCTAATTCTACCCAGTTTATGTATAAGCCATACATAAACTTCAGGAAGTCCTCGACCATATGAAAATATCTACTTCATGGAGTCATTCGTGTGGTTCCAAATACGAACAACAATCCCATGCTAACGTACTCATAGAAAGGTTGCTATTTTCTGGCAAAAAATATAAAAGACAGCAATAGTAAACCAGCCAGAAGCCCCGGACAATTCTCTGCCGTGGAAGTCCGATTGAGAAGAAATGTTCCAACGATAACGTAAGAGGAACTAGGTGTCAGGTAGCAAACCACAGCTTCACGTAAATGAAATATTTGATCGAAACATATAAAATCGATATGTGGTGTTAATCGAAATACTTTAGTCAGCACTCAATAATAGACTGGAAGTAGCTATAATATGTTAGTCAACTACAGTAAACTATTCAAATTAGGATTAATAGGACTACTGGAGATTGATAACGATTGAGAACCTCTAAGATTCGAAGTACTCATCAGAAATGCTCCTTGAGAAAAAATTTCAGCAAAATCCTGCTTAGACAACCCATGCTGAGAAGATAAACTGAAAAATGTCGGAAGACATTGACATGTGATTGAAACGTCAACCATACATAGAGAGTTTCTTCTGCTTGTTAAACTTGGAAAAAGAAGCAGTACTACCCCATCGTCGCGATCATGAAATCCTGCCCAATTGATTGCTGTAAACACATGTTAGGCCCGCTGTTGATTATGGCCATCGCTCGGACCCAAAGCAGTGCACGGTGGAGATTCCACGTTCACACCATTGACTGTACAATGTGTTACATGCGTTCCATGAAAAACGATGCAAGAAAGGAGAACAGTTCAACAAACGCAAAGCTCTTTCAATCATAGTAGCCATAGCCCATCTCAATGGCCCTTATCGACCGGAAGAAATGAAAGAATTCACCAGAAATCGCTCTTGCTAAAAAACACTCTGAAAATGAATCGAGAGCATGCCCATGGACAATCCTAGGTTGCGAGCAATGTCAAAAGCAGACGTGATACAAATGTCTCAAACAACAGATAACACAAATGCGAACCTATTCAAATCCCAATTGGTATTCAACAAAGTCCACATTCCAGCGAGATGAGAAAACAAGTTATAATTCAACAATTTAAGAAAAATCATAATGGACCAGCATACAAGAAGTGCAGTTCATTTTGTATCTCTTCCCCTATAGCTATTTCTGCCATCTGAAGTTAAAAATATTGGCAACCGCTCACTTCATCTTTGCCTCAGTAAACAGAACATGGCAATATAAAAGACAGCGATAGTGAACCAGCCAGAAGCCCCAGACAATTCTCTGCCGTGGAAGTCCCGTTGACAAGAAATATTCCAACGATAACATAAGAGGAACTAGGTGTCAGGAAGCAAACCACAGCTTACGTAAAGGAAATATTTAATCGAAACATATAAAATCAATATGTGGTGTTAGTTGAATTACTTTACTCAACACTCAGTAAAAGACTGGAACTAGCTAAATATGTTGGTCAACTACAGTAAACTATTCAAATTAGGATTAAAAGGACTACTAGAGATTGATAACGATCGAGAACTTCTAAGATTCGATAGAGTACTCATCAGAAATGCTCCTTGAGAAAAAAATTCAGCAAAATCCTGCTTAGACAACCCATGCTGACAAGATAAACTGAAAAATGTCGGAAGAAATTGACATGTGATTGAAACGTCAACCATACATAGAGAGTTCCTTCTGCTTGTTAAACTTGGAAAAAAGAGCAGTACTACCCCATCGTCGCGATCATGAAATCCTGCCCAATTGCCCGCTGTTGAGTATGGCCACCGCTCGGACACAAAGCAGTGGAGGGTGGAGATTCCACGTTCACACCATTGACTGTACAATGTGTTACACATGTGTTCCATGAAAAACGATGCAAGAAAGGAGAACAGTTCAATAGACGCAAAGCTCTTTCAATCATAGTAGCCTTAGCCCATCTCAATGGCCCTTATCGACCAGAAAAAGAAAAGAATTCACCAGAAATCGCTCTTGCTAAAAAACACTGTGTAAATGAATAGAGAGCATGCCCACGGACTATGCTAGGTTGTGAGCAATGTCAAAAGCAGACATGATATAAATGTCTCAAACAATAGATAACACAAATGCTAACCTATTCAAATCCCAATTGGTATTCAACAAAGTAAAAATTCCAGCGAGATGAGAAAACAAGTTATAATTCAACAATTTAAGAAAAATCATAATGGACCGGCATACAAGAAGTGCAGTTCATTTTGTATCTCTTCCCCTATAGCTATTTCTGCCATCTGAAGGTCAAAATATTGGCAACCGCTCACTTCATCTTTGCCTCAGTAAACAGAACATGCCGATTAACCCGAGGGTCATACTTTCGGAACTCCAGTTTCTCTACCATCTTACGCGGATTCTTCTTCTTCACATAGAAGAAGCCAGTCCCAGCAGCGGAAACAAGCCTGACAAACACTGATGCAGCCTTCTTCTTCTTGTCCCCCATTTACAAGCTTAAATGAACACAACGCAAACTAGTTCAACAGAACAAACAAACACAAGGGTAAAGTCATGATGAGAAAAAGAAATACCAAACGAACAGGATAATTACGAAAGTGACGGAATTACATGCAAAAACAGATTGCGCATGCAAGAACACCTCTATTAAGCAAGTTTGATGGAATTCAATTCTCCAAGCACACAACTAAGCCATGCAACAATAGAAAAAATTGTGAAAAAGTATAAATGTCCAAACACAAATGATAAAAGCCCCTTATGAGAATGACAATATAAGAAGAACATTCACTCGCAGAGAAGCAAGAAGTGGGCTTCACTACACATTTATCCGGGTCTATGAGAACTCCACACAAAAATCTGCCAAAACGAGTAACTTCCAAAAATGCCCACGCTAACTTATTACACTGCATCTTAACCAAAAAAAAAAAAAAACTTATTACACTGCAGGTTACCAAAAAAAAAAACTTATTACACGGCAGATGTATTGGAAGACACGGCATCTTCTCAAGGTGCGGACGATCTTAGCTCAAACTCGTCTTTCACAAGTTCAAAAGGACAACCCAAAACAAACCTCGAGGGTAATCAGCAAAAAGTCACGAAACCCATCTTCCGAGGGCAATGCGGCACCTTGTCTCGACAACTTAAGCTCCTCAAACAAACTGCTTTGCTCATTCTGTTAAAAAAATTTTGTTTTTTTGGGTCATGCTGCTAAAATAGATTTAAACAAGCAGATTTTGACCGGTTCTTTTTGTAGCATCAAACTCCAACTCAGTGCAAATGCACCTGACGTCAAATGGGTTTCTCGTCGTCATTTCATCGAACACCTTACGCGCGCACAACCGGAAACTTCACTCGAAGCTTTGCCCGCAACAATAAGTTAAGAACAGAAGCTACAACCTAATGGTTCCACTGTGCCGACCTAATTCCAAGAATCGATCTCGGGACACGAAATCGTGCCGACAAGAACTCGACCAATCCGCAAGCCCCTCGCCCCAAAAACCTCCTCAAAAACACTCGGGGAACCACAAGACGATACAAAGAACAAGAAGCATCAACGAACGAAGCGACGACCTTACCCGCTCAATCTCCGGAGCAAAAGCGTAGGATCAACAGGAGAACCGAAGAACAACAGCCGCTCGCAGAAGAAGAAGAAGAAGTAGCAGCGAAAGTCTCGCCCAAGCAGCAAAGTAGCAGGAAAAACAAAAAAAAGGTGGCGGAGCTCGAAAAGTCATAAATGCCCTCGGCATTGCGCCGTAATCACGGTCCTCGTACACGACGTTGCCCCCGGCGCATTTTAGCACCGTCTCGGGATCGCTGTGCCCTAATTTACTCGTTGCTCTCGCCTACTTCTTCTTCTTCTTCTTCTTCTACTCTCTCTCTCTCTGACAAATTTCGATCCAACCGAAGGTGAGCGTCTGAACTGTCTGTTGAATTTGGGGGGGCTCGCACTGATCTTAGCGTGGCGATTTTGTTTTGCACTGATCTTGCGCTGATCAATTTTATCGTTTTTCTGGGCGCAATGAGATCGATTTGATTGGAAAGTTCGATTTTTTATGGTCGAATCATCCGCATAGGGGGATTCGCATTGGTTTCGCGCTCTCTCTGGTTGTTGATATTCCTCGCTGCAGCGCCTCGCGAGCACTGATTCTTCTCGTTGAGATTTTTAGCTGAGAAAAAAATTTTGGATTTTGACGGCCCATTTTGGCAGGATTTTGGTGAGTTGAGAGGCGCGCGTGGGGGGATGGCGAGCCCTGTGGACGCGGCGGGAGAGCCCATCCCGACGTCGGCGGTGCTGATGGCGTCCTCGAAGCACATTGCCACGAGGTGCAGGCCCGAGAACGTGGCGTTCCTCAAGTGCAAGCAGAAGGACCCGAACCCCGAGAAGTGCCTCGAGAAAGGCCGCGAGGTCACTCGCTGCGTGCTCAGTCTGTAAGGAACTGTTTTGCCCTGGCTATATGTTTGTGGGTTGGTGGTGTTTTTCTGTCCTGATTGATTGATATAAACAAGTTGTGTGGGGTTTTGTTTAGCCGTCTCTCCGATGAGACAATGAAGGGGTAATGATGAGAATTTTAGAGTTGTCCTGTGAATCATATGGTGCTCCAGATACCCAGGGTGGTGTTTTGTTTCTCGGTTGATATGGACAACTTTGTAGGATTATATTAAGGCGTCACTTCGACAAGATTATGAAGGGTTGATCTTGAGAGTTCTAGAGTTGGATGTGAATCATGTGATGCTTTAGATACCAAGCATTGTGTCTTTCCTGAACTGAGACTGAATGGAAATGCAAATCAAGATGCTTTTCGTCTATGTATTGAAAAATAGAACCTTTATTACTAGGATCACCTCTTTAAATGTAATGGTGGGATTACTACTGCGAGAGCAATAATCTAGGGTTGCCTATGATATCCTGTCTTCATCCAGATTATATCATGATCATCATTTCAAGATTGACATGAACAATCATATCCAAATTTGTCAAATTATTGAGTGGTCGTTAATTACCAGGGGAAGATGGGAGTAGAGATAGACATCTTACTTCCACATGTGAAATTTGTTCTGGGCAATATTCTCATCTTTGGCTTACTAAAGGGAAAACAGAGGTTTCCTATTTAATTTTAATGTCCGTGTGGCTAGAATTTTGGCATGACCTCTTGACTTCAGTTGCGGCATGTCGTGTCTGCCTGAGTTGTGTCTTTTAACAATAGACTATTTTACTATACAGTGGCGGCTATGTATAATAGTGTGGACATGGGTAATTTATTTTAACTCAAACGTGCACACAAGTCACTTGATTATCATATCTTGGCAGTGCTCGTTTAGTAATACCTGTTATTACATGTAGTAACTGTATGCTATCGTTTCTGAAAGTGTTTTTTTCTTTTTAATTTTACTAAGAAATAATAGGAATTGTTGACTAAATGCTACTTGTCACATTATAGATAGTAATCCTGACATTTTCCAGTCAACCACTTAAAGATGAAAGAGTGGAGAAAGCGCTTCTGCTTTTGGCTTTTATAATTGGCCTTTTACTAAATTCTGATGACAGAAGACAGTAGTAGAAGTAGAGGCGTTTACCTCGCCTTCCCTCTCTCCTGAAGAAAAGGGCAAATGCTGCTCGTAGTCAGTGCAACTTGCTTAATGTCCTGATTATCCTCTTTAGCTGTCCAAGATATGTATATCCTGAGAAGCTCAGGATTTTGGTCACATAGATATCAGATCTCTTGAGTAAGATAGATGTGGGCTCTTACGAAATTTGCCCAGTCTATTCTTGATAACTAGGATAACCACAATGTTTGTCATATAAACTGCAATTCTATTCGATTTTGGACTATTCACTGATTTGCAAAACCATCAAGTTTCATCTATCAACTGTTGCGAACTTACAGTAAACATTGAGGCCCTTACTTGCCCTTTTGATTTTAAAACGAGAAGTTCTACTTTTGTTTTCACTTCATTATGAAAGAGTTGAATGACTTGCATCATAATGTTAGGAAGTTTGAGATAGACCTTCCCTATTTTGAGCTTGAAAGCATTGACCTCTGATGCTATCATGAGATTTTAAGTAAAATTTCTGTATTTTCTTTTGCCATTATCACCACTACTTTGTTTTTAACCCCATGGAAAAATTTTCCAATAAATTCTCCAGTGTGCAGAGTATCTCACAAAATATCCAGTGGACAGATCATTGTGGTCAGTTAGAAAAACCTCTCAAATTTTTTCCAAGTTGCTCGATTAGAAATATCCCGTTTGTGAAGTTTTAAAGAGCAACAAAGCCAAGGAAGATTGAGCGCTGCCCCAGCATTGGGGTGGGGGAAGGGAGAGTCTGGAACCTCTCAACTTCCTAAAAAATTCTCACCTGTGCTCACTTCCCTTTTAGAAGTCAGATTGGAGCGAGCTTTTATGAGAACATATTACCGTATTCGGGGACAAGGGGCCGATCTGCGAACCCTAGTCAGCAACTGGTAGTAAATGCTTACTACTATGATTATATCATGTTCATATTAAAATGCTGAATGTTCATAGGTGAATCAGGTAGCTGACCATCCTGTGCCCGGTGGCATTAAAAATTGGAGTTAATCTTGTTTGCAAATAAATGCTTCATTTAGAAACACTGAGATTTCTCTGAATTTCCTAATCCTCCTATCCATTAGGGCTAGTATGCTTTTTAGCCCAGTCAAATATGTATGTGAAGCCCTCCAGCGGTATCATCTGCAGTCTTCCTACATAAATCAGTGAGGCAAAACTATTTCTCAAGTCTGGGGCAAAAGTGATGATGACTTGCACTATAGAGTCTGACATTGTGGTTCAAAGTTCAGGATTGAGACGAACCTTGGTAGATTATGAGGATTAGATTTGTCTAATGAAATGGTGGCAAAGAGAGAGTCCATTCCTCTAGAAGTTTGGGCTATTGAATTGAAATTGCGTCTTTTCTCAAACAAGGATTGACATGGTTCTTGTAATCCAATTGGGTGAGAGCATCAATTTTTGTCCCTTATGACATGGTTTTTTAACACTATATTGTAGGTGATCGATTGGAGTTGCTTATTAGCTTTGTGGATCCCAATTTTTCTACTATTGATGCCTGGACTACATAAGTAGGGTGAAGTTACTTGGATGAGACATAATTTGGTCCCAGGTCCTTGGAACCACAGCTTATATTATTTGAACAGGCACCTTTGGTGTATTGGCTTTTAAGCAGCTGCTTTTCTTTAAACTTGGAAGTTTTCCATTCGTCTTCTGTGTGACTTGTATGTCCACTGTTGGAATTCTATATTGTGTTTTGGACAACTGGCTAAATGTTTAAGGCCCCTAGTTTATCCTAGTTTATCCCCTGTCCAGTAGGATATATAACTTCTTTGTCATGCAGACACTCCATTTTATAATTATGATCGGCCCAAGTTATGCATATAGTAGCATGGATAAGCATGAATCTTTGTTCTTTGCTGCCAGTGAGAGACACACTGATTGGCATGTTCGCTTTGTTAAGATCAATGATGTTTGTCTATTCATCAGGTTGAAGGATCTTCATCACAGATGCACGAAAGAAATGGATGCTTATGTGGGTTGTATGTATTACTATACGAATGAGTTTGACTCGTGTCGCAAAGAGCAACACGAATTTGAGAAAGCCTGCCCGTTGGAGTGATTGACGGGATGGTGCAATGATTAATAATCTGCGGCAGTTCGTATTGAGCAAGACATTCTTGTCACAAAAATTTCGGAAGTGCACTGTTTCCTTGAGCCATTTCTCTTCCATAATTTTTCGTTTGTCTAATACTTTCAAGCTGACTAGCCTTATCCACCTGTTTCAGGCATGTATTATCACCATGACTTCATGGTTGGAATGAGCGGCAATTTCTTTTTTATATCTGGCAGTTCACTGATCTCTCTTTCTCCCTCTGTTTTTCTATTCGTTTCTTGGTTGCTTGATTGAATTGGCTTGAACATCATTTACTTATGTCAACACGAATGGCTCCTTGGAGGGTGGATTTTATTCTTCATGTTATCTTGTCTACCCAAATTTGAAGCTAGGGGGACATTCATTGATTAGTGCAACTATAACTATGCTCCCTCTTTGTTTGAAACACCCTTTTCGCAGTAGCCTCAAAATGTCATATTTTCATTGCTTTCACGTGTAGGGTCCGACTTTGTCTACGACTGTGACTGGTATAACCTGGTCGACGTCTTCAAGTAGAACTGACACTCTGCTGCTCTTAGTAGCAGAAGCCATGATCCAAAAAAAGCTTCGTAACTGTGCTTTCTTTAACTACGCATCCTGGCATTTACGTAACGGTTGCTGTTGCAGCCGCTCGTTAGACAATTCATTTTGCCTGCGCCAGTCTGGTGAATCGGTGGCATCTATTCGCGTAACTTTGCCCGACAGACCACTGAACGAAAAATTCAAACGGGTAATCGTTATTTCTGCACATGGATTCGTTTATGAGAGAATGCAGAACAGCTTATTCATCTGCTGAACAAATACCTAACAGATTTCGCCATTAATTCTTTCAAAATGCTGTTTTCATTTTTTTTGGGGGGGGGGGGGGGGCTTAGAATTCAGTACGACAAATTCACCAACTCTTATATATAGTTACCAACATTTCTTTACTGTTTACAAAATGGATAATAACACTGCAAGTACCCGAATTTTTGTCCATCTTACAATTTAGTACCTTAACTTCTTCTTCGTTTAATCAAGTACTTGCAATAAGAATCAAAGCTAAATGCTAAAAGTCGGTCCTAAATAAGAAAGGCCCGTGAGGCACAGCTGATGGACTGATTACCTACGCCACCTTTGATTTTGTTCCTGGCATAACCCCCTCTTGGTATCAGAGCCATGGATTAAGTGCTATACTATCCTTTTAAGATATGTAATAACACAGGTTTTGAAGGGAAGCATCATCATAATCACGAGTGTAAAAACCCAGGTAGAAACTCCAACTCCGATAGTAAAAATATTACAGTTTCTCTTACTCCTTCCAGTTCTTATCTTAAATTTGATGCTTCTAAAATCGATTGGCTTTATGAGGTATCTTACCTTAACGAGGCCAAGAAAATCTCTTCTACTAGGCCATGTGATGTGGCTGACATGACTCGCTTGCTAGCGAAAATTATGCCATCTTCATTTTGGTGTTGAGTGATGAGGAGAGAGAAAAAGAGTGTGTGCTAACTTAGATGATGTTGACCAACCAACACATCTCAGTTGGCTCGGCATCATTTTAAAAAGTCACAATGCGATGCCAATGTGCAAGATAAGCAACTACTTACTAGCATTAGTGTCTAATTTGGCCTTTTTAGTCCACGATTTAATGGACGTCTTATATTGATTGACATTCGAAAAGTTGAGGTACTTGATCAAATAAAACAAAGGATTGGGATACTCAATTGTAAAGCGGGCAAAAATTTAAGTACTTACATTGTGATTATTTCTTCCGATATAATCAATTTTCATTAGGGTGAATCGTAAATGTGTTAATGTTATAAACTCTAATAAGAAATTACTAACCTTAACTTGAGTGAATGATCTACTTTCTTCGATGAAGTTACCAATACAACGGATTCATTCCAAAATAAAAGTCAGATGGTAAAGAAGAAAAACTTAGACTACGGCACGAAGGTCTTCTAAATTCATTTATCTCAAAGACTACAGAAAGCTTCTAGGGAAAGTTACCTGGGTCATCTTCCTTCGAGCGGACAATGCAATTTGCCAACGGCCGTGGAGATAACGATTAACAAAACATTTTCTTGATACAAATAATAGCCCCTAGGTTACTAATTCTTATTTGAGCCATTTAAATTGATTCGAAGTTACCAACTTTTTGAATAAATCACAAATTTCATTGAAATTACCGACCTCTATATTAAATTATCAATTTTTCTGCTAAATTACGGCCTAATTCCAAAAAAAAAACGCCAACTTTAGATCGAGGGACAATTCTGGCCTGAACTTTTTTTTGTCCAGCAAAAAAGCATCAACTTGAGGTCGAGGGACAATTCTGGCCCGAACTTTTTTTTGTCCTGTAAAAAGCACCAACTTTAGGTCGAGTGATAATTATGGCCCCAATTTTTTTTGTCTCATAAAAAATAACAAACTTTCACTCTGATTTCAAATCTGGTCCTGTTGACTTTCTGTCTAAAGTCACCATTGTTTGAGAAAAAAAGGTTATGGTGACGAGCTTAGCGAATCTCGTCCATGGCGTCTGTCGACAAGCGGTGGTCAGCTTCAGATTACGTCTGGCCAGAGAGATTCAAACTGGAGATATTTTTGACTTGCCGATGAAGTGAAGGAGGCGAACAATTTCACCGTTATTCTTCAAATTGTGGCTCAGAGAATAAGACAATGAATATTGCTTTAAATCCAATCAGCAAGCCACGTGGATTTATTGCTAAGGTGGAATAGTCAAGTTAGATAAGTAATGGTTCTAAGTCAATAGAGGCCAGATTTGAAATTTAAGTGAAAGTTAGTGCTTTTTTATGAGACAAAAAAAAGTTTGGGCCAGAATTGTCACTTGACCTAAAGTTGGTGCTTTTTTACGGGGACAAAAAAAAGTTCGGGCCAAAATTGTCCCTCGACCTAAAGTTGGTACTTTTTTACGGGACAAAAATAAGTTCGGGCCAGAATTGTCCCTCAGCCTAAAGTTGTGCTTTTTTTTTAATTAACCCGCTAAATTACCAAATTTGTATGTCGAGAAGCATTTACTGTAATTATTTTCTTATGGGCTTCTTGCCCCAACTTTTACCCCAAAAGAAGATACAGCAAATTCACATACAACTAAAAAAGACATGCTGCAACTTTTTAGTGCATTGCATGTCCATGTGATTTGCAAAACAACTGCATCGGAGGAAACCGAATATTTCCTCGTTAGCATGTTGGAAGAATGCCCGAGGCTCTGAAATCCATGGTTCATCTCCCTACATTTGCAAATTTGTCGACAAATTGTCGAAGACGAAGCTAGAATGCCGTCCATATTCTACATAAATTCATAGATTAATCCTGGAAAAAAACGGAGAGTATCTTTCGCACTTTCCAAGTTTCTTCACGCTTCTGCATTCAGATCGATACCATAATATAGCTGTCGATGATCATTGAACGATGAAATCAAATTGGCGATCTGGCCGCGTTGGTCCTGACTCAGACTGATAGTTGACATGTTCCCGATCCATGGATTCATTTTTCATCTACCACTTTCTTCACCACATAAATTATTCCAAAACAAGAACACACTTAACAGCAAATTAGTATTGTAATGTCCCGGATGGCCAGATTGCACAAAGACCAGTCTTCCACTTGACACAGTTTGGGTTCTGGGCTGAGTCACACACAGCTATTTTTCTGCTTATTTTATCACTGATTTTTTTTGGCTGATCCTTTGTCCCATACCCATAAAGTACCTTCCCAAGATAATATTATTATTTCATGTCAGCTTGCGGGAACAGGAAAGATCAGCCCAGAATAACGATGGAAGCCAAACGTGATGCATTTTTCGAGGATGCTCTTTGGTGAACATCGAGGGACAGGTGATAAGGTTCTAGTGCTGTCATTAACTAGTATCAAGATACATTTGATGATTATGGTGGGTGTAGTGTCGGCATAGTTCTCTCGTTTCATTTGGTGGGTTATTAAATTTTACAGATTAAAGGAGAGGAATTAGCAACCCAATTGCATTAACACAGATAAGATGAATCATGAGTGGGCTTATGTAGATATGCACAAGTGTACATGACCATATTTTCCTGTTTATTTGGCTTGTAATGTCAGTGTCAGTAGAAACTTCAATGTTAAATCATGTTTAGCCATTTGAGCAAATTGCTGAAGAGATGCTGGTCAAGGTGTTGTCTTTTAGTGAAGCTGAGATCAGATGAGCAAACCTTTTGCCAACAGTTGATTAACAGCAATAAAGTGAATTAATGATCATAAAGAATCATGAACTAAAGTAAAAAAAGTATCCTCTTATCTTCCCTTCATTTCATTTCTTGAAGTTTGTTTACTATTTCTTTTTTCCTGCCATCTTATGCTGACGGTAGACTCCAATGTATTCTTCTGGTTGAATAAAATCATGCTTTCAGGAGTAAACTGCGACGTAGTATTAAGTGCGAGTTGGGACAATACTGCCATAACTATCGTAATTATGAACTGAACTTGTTATAGATTACCAAAATAATTCTTAAATTCTTTCTTGTACATTCTTCACGGTGAAAGTTTTATTAAAAGAAAGAGGACCCAAGATTTCTGAGAGAGAATATATCCTGAATAAGCCTCATTAGGATTGGTTGCCAATTTGTTGAAATTCCTTAAGTCACTTTCGCCTGAATCATCAGATAAGACAATTGGGCAAAGTTCATCTTTTTCTTCTTTTCATATCCTTTTCTGCCAAATTATCAATGACTCTTAAAAAATCTCATTTTGGGTAAATATCATCTTGTAAAAGAATGACAGACCTTCGTTTGAGAAAAGCTGACTTGACCGGGATTTGAATTATTTTTGGCTTAAACGAGCTATTTATTTAAGTCAGCCATTTTAATCATCCTTCAGCTACTGCAGTTACTGTGGTCAACCTAGCACTGGAAGAGTCAAGAAAGAGTTAAAGATCATTTAGCAGATACGTATCCTCAAGAACTGCACACAACATAAGCAATATTTATACAGAAAAACCCATCAGCCATATCACTACTCACCATGGGATGACAGTCTTGAAACATTATTTTGTAGACGTTCCACACTTTGACGCAATGAACTCGCTGAATCACAGCAGAAAATTCTGGTTTTCAATGACCCTTTTTGTGTTATTATCTGTTGAATCAGTTACATTAACTCTACAATGGAAAATCGACTAGCTGCCTGTTCTTGACATGCCATCAGTTTCCTTGTTCACATGTATCATGTGCATGTTTTTTTATTTGGCCAATTACAATTAGAAAACATTCTGGCAGCTTTCGCTAGCTTGCACCAAAGAGCTTAAATCCTAAAAATTCATGGCAATTTGTACAGGCAAAGGCCACACCAAGGACGTACACGAAAATATAAGAAAATGGTTCATAACTCACATGTTCCATAGTAATTTTAAAATGCATAATATTACAACAGGATTCTGCTTCCGATCTATTTCCTTGAGCATGAGCAAGCTTACAAGTTACAAATGCTCATGCCAACGTCAGTGACAGCTTCAACCCACATGCCGGTAATGATATCTGATTATGATAACCCCAATCAATAGAACAAGACAAAGTAAATAAATATCTAGCTGCCAAGCTCCATATGTATATATACCCCCCTCAAGTGACCATGCTTATCGCACCAATTTGTCATTGGTATCTTTAAGACCTTTTTGACCTTTTTCTCCTCTTTGTTGTTCTTTCTTTTTCTCATTTTGACACTTTTAGATTGGTAGCCTCCTCTGCTATTAGAGAGATGGCCATTGAGCAGCACAAGGATGTTGAGAATGGTGATAACCAGGGCCTTGAAGACCTTCAGGAGCCTTTGGTTAAGCTGGAGAAGAAGGTTATAAGCTATGAAGACAGCGAGAGTGACGAGAGTGTCGAAAGTAGTTCTTCCATTGCAACGGTGTTGCTGAGCACATTTGTTGCTGTTTGTGGCTCTTTTGAATTCGGCTCTTGTGTAAGTACACCGATGACTGGAGCTGAGAAACTTCCTTTTCCTTTCTTTGGGTTCTTGAAAACTTGAGGAACTATGAGAAATGGTGCCTTTGCCGAGTCTTTCAAATTCCATTATAAGTAAAGTTCATGGGTGAACCAAAAGAATCTTTTTTTGTGTTCTCTTTTCTTGGTTATGAACCAAAATGTTAAAGGGGAAAGAAGAGAAAAATGGGTGTTTTTTGGCCTAAGTAATTCTTTTGGCAGGTGGGTTATTCTGCACCAACTCAATCTGCTATCATGGAAGATCTTAGCCTCTCTTTGGCAGAGGTTTGCATTAATTTTTTTTCGCCTTTCTTGTTCTTGTTATTCAATGCACATGCCTCATGTCAGCTCTGGTGCTCTTGCATATGACAGTACTCAATGTTCAGTTCTATATTGACCATCGGCGCCATGCTTGGTGCTATTACGAGTGGTCGAATTGCAGACTTTTTCGGTCGAAAAGGGGTATGAAGACTATCTTAAAATCAAGCTAAATCATAGACTTTTGGGCCATTTTGATGTCATGCTAATGTCTGCTCCGTTCAAAATTTCGCAGGCAATGCGAATGTCAGCAATCTTCTGCATTGCAGGATGGCTAGCAGTCTACTTCTCTAATGTACAACCCGGCACATAAGTGGAAATTTTTTCAAGTTTCTAGATGATCTTCAAGAGATTACAACCTAGTTTACTTGCTAATTCCAATGGTTCGGATACAGGGGGCGTCATTGCTCGATTTGGGGAGGTTCTTCAAAGGATATGGAATTGGAGTTTTCTCATACGTGGTAATGATTTCAAACTCTAGACCTTCCTTTACGACACCGTGATGATGGCATGGCACATTGATACTTTAATTTAGGGGTCATGACAGTTAGAGACAGGATTAGCACTTAAAGATTTTAATGAAACTTTATGTAAATGGATGTAACAGGTTCCTATATTCATTGCGGAAATCGCGCCAAAACATCTTCGTGGAGGGCTCACTACTCTAAATCAGGTGGAGAAATCTCAAAGCCTGTATGTCACGTTTTTTTCTCTCTCTGATAAAAAAGGAGTAAACATCAACCTTGTATCTTTTCCTTCATGTTTTCTATGCAGCTCATGATTGTCATTGGGGCATCAGTTGCGTTTCTAATGGGAACCGTCGTAACTTGGAGAACTCTGGCTCTGACAGGTACATTCTGATTTCTTAGGAAATAATTAAGCATCTTCAACGATCATAACTGTTGAAATTTCAAGGAAATAATGGCAAATATTGTATAGTTTGAGCTATGAGATCGGCATGAAGTGGCTAATTGTTCGTTTGATGTTATAGGGCTTGTACCCTGCATTGTGCTGTTTGCGGGTCTATTCTTGATCCCGGAGTCACCTAGGTGGCTGGTAAGCGCTTGAACATGACACGCAGTTCAACACCAAAGAATTTAGTAGGGAGTAGTACCGATAATGGTAATTGTTGCTTTCAGGCAAAGGTTGGTCGCAAGAAAGAGTTCCAGTTGGCACTTCAGACTCTCCGTGGCAAAGACACTGATGTCTCTCGAGAAGCTGCTGAAATCCAAGTATTGACAACTTAAGCAGCCATTCTTATTACGAAAAAAGAAGAACTAATTAAATAAAAGAACAGATAAAAGAGGAGTAACTTTCCCTAATTGGCTGGAATAAATATTCTTGACAGGTGTATATAGAAACTCTTCAGAGTCTGCCCAAAGCTAGAATGACGGACCTGTTTCAAAGCAAGTACATACGTTCCGTTGTTGTAAGCAACTTGTTCTTCTCAAAGTCTTTCATGTTGAGGTTGAGAAGTGAAATGACGCTGTGTTCATGTAAGACGTTGCAACTGACTTGGCGATTTTGCATATAGATTGGTGTCGGGCTGATGGTATTCCAACAATTCGGTGGAGTCAATGGGATAGGTTTCTACGTGAGTGAAACCTTTGCTTCAGCTGGTAAATCAAATGGTCTATTTACTCGAGTCAATTTGTTGTTGCTCACTATACTTCTACTTCCTTAACTTCCGTGGTACGAAATCCAGGTCTTTCTTCAGGGAAGATTGGAACAATTGCTTATGCTTGTGTCCAGGTAACCTTTTATTCGTCTCTTTTCGGTTGAAGTCTGAAACTCACCCTGTACAGCAATCATTCAAAATGACTTAACCAAGAGAACCAATTGACAGGTTCCAATCTCATTACTGGGAGCTGTACTAATGGATAAATCTGGAAGGAGGCCACTCATAATGGTAACTATTATATATCTGTACCTCTGTAAGAATAAAAAGATAGCGGCTCAATGAGACTTATAAGACGACTCGTGACGAAAATGTCGGATCTGTAGGTTTCTGCAACCGGAACATTTTTAGGCTGCTTTCTTGCAGGATCTTCATTCTTTCTCAAGGTCAGTTATTTTCAGAAGTATAAATCACTCTGATAAACAATTTCTCATCTTGCCGTTCCTAGATTTGTATCTGAATTAATTTGAATTTTCTTTGTGCACTTAGGCACATAATATGTTTCCAGAATTTGTACCACTCATGGCAGTTACTGGGGTATTGGTAAGTCCACTAATCCTATAATGATACTAAATACATCACACGGTGGGTCGGTCGGTTCGGATCCTCACCATCTTCTCCTTTTGTGCAATGAAATCAGATTTACATCGCATCATTCTCGATTGGGTTGGGGGCAGTTCCGTGGGTGATAATGTCTGAGGTACGATTCAATCTTACCCCCTGTTCGGTCTTCATATAAAGATAGCGACTCATCAAAATGGCGAACATTCTCTTTTTACATTTCACTTGACGAACAAAGAACATTGGCAGAATTAGTCTTCTCTACATTTAAGCGATGAAGGATTGCGAAACTTTTGAAATCTGAAAAGAGATTATTTTGCTGATCTGCAGATTTTTCCAATAGACATAAAAGGTGCAGCTGGTAGCCTAGTGGTGCTAGTGAACTGGTTGGGTGCTTGGGCAGTCTCTTACACATTCAACTTCCTCATGGTCTGGAGTAACTCAGGTAGAACATCACTCAACCTCACTCATGATCAATCTCATCATTCCTTTTCACGTAAGACAATAATCGCTAAAGTTTCCAACTTGATGCAGGTACATTTTTCATTTACTCCGGCTTCTCGGTGCTGACCATCCTGTTCGTGGCGAAATTGGTCCCGGAAACAAAGGGCAAGACACTGGAAGAAATCCAGGCTTGCATCAATTCAGACAGCAGAGGACTACCAACTTTGAAATGATTTTAGGGGAAATACTAGAAGAAAATTCAGATGTTTTATTGTGGAGTAGATTTGAGAATTGCTTAGAGGGTTACCTATTTCAAGTTTGAGTGAGCATTGCACGGTTTGGCATCATTTAGGGCATTGCCTAGCTGGTTCCATGGATGTAAAACAGATCCTATAGTACAAAAAATGCAGAATTCTGCAGGTCACTAATGATTTTTCAGAAAAATATTTAAATAATATGGTGACCGTAAAATTATTACTGGACGACAAGCAAAAATATCAACTTTTCTTTTGTTGGCCCAAACGAGAAAACCTCTATTTTTGTTTGGTTTAATTATACAAATGGTCCCTAGATTTTGGCTCAATGTGCAGTATCATCCTGGAATTTTAATTTATTCAATATGGTCCCTGAACTTTATTCCAACATGCACTGTTACCCAAAAATTTTAATTTGTTCAATATGATCCTTAAGCGACCGAGGACGCGCCTCAAGAGAACGCACGAGCGAGATCCGCCGAACTCGTCTCGAGCGAGAGAGAGACACGTGTATCGCTCGAATAATTAATAAATTCATTTTATAATTATGACGTGGCATGACAAAATGGGCAAATCATATGTAGAGAGAGAGAGAGAGAGAGAGAGAGAGAGAGAGAGAGAGAGAGAGAGAATATAAAAGTAGGGGTGATCGGTTCCAAGGTGGGTTGGGTTCAGACCTGAAACCTGAAACCAACCTTATTATAACCGGTTCCCAATTTTTGGAATCTGAAACTAACCCTATTTTCCCTGGACCCTGTTTTGGAACCGACCCTGTTTTTCCGGTTCGATTTTAGGATCTACCCGAGAACCTGTTTTTTTTTTTTTTTGGTTCCTTTTTCGATTTCATTTTTTTCCAGCAAAATAATATAGGTAGCAATGAAACGATTCAAAGTAAAAGATGAATAACAAATACCACTATCCGCCAAAAGTAATAATCCCCAAAATGAGCAATTGAAATTACAATCCATCAAAATCAACAATCCAAAAGCACCATGTGGCAAGACATAGTCCAATCGAATAAATCTTTAAGAGTCACGTTTCTAGAGAATCTGTTCAACGTGTTTAGCTCTTTATTTTGCGCCATGATGAGAGAACTCATCACTTCTGTTTCCGAATGAAATATCTTGAAAGGAAAATCAAGAGAGTTAGCAGTAAAGTGCTCTCACTAGAGAAAATGTCTATATATCTCATCTGAATCACACAATATTTAGATGACTTTAAGGACCGTGTTGTTTCGCTCATAGTTGTGAAACAGATCCCAATATTAAACCAGAAACCGGTTCTAAAACCGGTGAAGTAGGGTAACGTGATCTAGGGTTTTTACTTTTTTTTACATTATCTCAAAACCGGCTCTAAAACCAGTTCAAGTTGATTTTTACTTGGAATCGGAAACCGGACCGGTTCTAACCGGTTCCTAAAAAATGGAACCGGTTCCCGAACCTATTTTTCGGGTGGGCCGGTCCGGTTTCCGGGTAAACCCGATCCGGTTGCACACCCCTGTATAAAAGGATGCAGATCTGTAGCGCAAGATCCGATTTTTTTTCCACTCCCGCTTCCGTTACTCTCTCTCTCGTACTCGCCACGGAACGCCAAGCAAGCTCGAGCCTCGCAGCAATGGCGTCGCCGGGGGCCAAGGTCTCGTTCCGCGTGCTCCTCGCCGTCCTCGCCGTCCTCGTCCTCTTCTACGTCGGTCGCCCCCTCTACTGGAAAATCTCCGCCACCGTCCACGACATCCGCCAGAACAAGCAGACCGTCAAGCAGGGTAACGATACAGCGTCCGGTTCCTTCGGTGGTTCTCGCCGGTTCGAGTTAGCCCTTTATTGGAATTTGTCCCGTGTCTGTCGTTTCAGGGTTGTCCCAGATTGTGTACGAAGCGCAGAAGTCGGTCGGGTGGTTCCACGACGAATCCGACTCCGGCGCCCGGGAGGATCGCGGGATGGGAGGGGCGTCGGCGGCGAGTCGGAGGCTGCTTTACGAGGCCAATCTGTGAAATTGATCGGTTTGATCGATTTGATCGATTGATCTGTAAGTTATGCTGTGGAACTGCAAAGTGGATAGTGGCTGCATTGTAATGAAATTCGGATTGGTGTCTGGATCATTGTATCTCCATACTCGTTTGATGAATTGGCTGCGAATTCGCCCTCGGCCTAGTGGGGGTATTAGGATGTGATGGTGTGTATTCCATAAAGGTGTCTTTGTTTCTGCAACTGGGAATGGTAGAGTGTTACGCCGCGTCGAAACTTTGTTTCTTCAGAGGAGTATCTTCTGCATTATATGGGATATAGTCAAGTGGTGGATACATGTTTCAGCTTGAGACGGTGCAAACTTGATATGCATGTATATTGAAGTATTTTGGTATGTGGCCACAAATAGAAACTTGTGTATATATGTAATCTGTGCATGCGTATGTGAACACATGCTAGAGCTCGATTACGAAGTGGATGCAAATTGTTTTGCCAAAAAATAGGAGGTGCGAATTAATCTAGCTTCGAATACTCGTGATATCACGATGATTTGACCCCCGGCATTGCCAGGTGACAAGACGTGGTGTTACTTTTTTTTGTTAATGGTAATATTGAGTATGGAGTGCTGAAATGCCCCTTACTAGAATATCTTGTTGGGTTGTATCTATTTTGATTTATCACCACTTGTGTTTCCTACTTTTGAACGCTGTAAAATTATAACTGAGGGAGTTTTAGGAGTAAAGAGAGCCAACTGCATATCATGCTGGAATCTTGTCTGTCAAGTGGTGGCTGTATTTCTTTCCAAGAGGTTCATAGCCAAACTGTGACTTCCATTTCTCTCTTGAAAAGAGAGAGTGCTAAATTGGCTACTGTATGTCACATAAAAGTAACAAAATGAAATGAAACAAAATAAGATGAAAGTAGAATAAAAGCCAATTGGCTTAGAAGTTACAATAGTGTTTTTAGGCTGATGATGATGGTTTGGCTCTACCATAGCTTCTAGTTGTAGCTTGGAGCTGCAGTTACATTGCTTTTCGTAGTGGCAGAATATGTTCAAAGTTGTTTGATAATAAATATTATTGATGGTATTCCCTTAAAATAATTCTAAAGAGTATTTTAATTAATGAGATTATCTTTATCTACATAAAATTAAGCTCCCCAAAGTTTGTAAAACAGTAACTTCAAAATCTTCTTGAAGTCAACTTCGGAGGATTGTGGCATTTAAGGTACTGAGGCTTTCCAAACTGCCATGGGTTGCAAAAGTATGGTGGATTTTTCTGTGGACATTATCTCCCATGAATATGTATATGGGTGTGTATGAGAATCAATATGAAGAAATATCTGTTTATGAGTGTGCGCATCTGCCTGCATACGCGTGCAAAGAGGAGGAAACAGAATTGTAGAAATGGGTTTTGCTTACAACATTGTCATGGTACTGGTGGCATGGCGTGTTGCGCTGGTTGGGTTGGAATTTAGTTGGAAAGTTGCAGCAACGGTTATATGTGGAGAAAGGAGGTTGGCCGCTTGGCTCGAATCGGTTTGGCCTGTTTCTTAGAAAGTTTCATAATCAGTTCTGCACTGTATAATTTGTGCTACCACAGCCTTCAGATTGTCACCATTCAAATACTTACTTGACCGAAAGTGTCAGTCTCGAAAAGTGCTTTATCGCTCAAAACTAGTCTCTGAGCGGGGAACAGTGTTTTTGGCTCTGGCATATTTGTATTGCTTTGTATGATTTTACCTTCATTCATTGGGATGATAGATAGACTGCCTATTCACTCCTGTTTGGGTTTTGTATTGATCTTGATTTGATGGTTACAATCAATAGATGACGATCCACAACACAAGTGGTCACCTTTGAGTATGAGAAATTATGTGCTCTTGAATGTCAATCCTAACCACTGGAGTTTGCCCCAGTGGCCACCTTCCTACTTAGGAAGAGGGAAGTGGAGAGTTCGATTCCCCACCTTCTCGGGGGAGTTAAGGGTGGAGAGAATTAGTTCCAAATGTGAGTTTCGACTCCACACCCTGCAAAGAAGTAGGGTAAAAGTCTGAAAATGAATTGAGAATTAGAGTAGGACAGACCCAAAAAAAATATGTCAATCCTCAATAAGAGGACTAAGTTGCCGCAGGGGATGTTGGATCCATGAGATTACCGGTGGGAATAGCACCTGAAATTAGAAATGAATGCTTAGTATGATTAGATGTTGGATCATATGAAAGAACTCAAAAAGCAACTAGTTCTTCTATCTATTTTCTCCTTTGGTTTGTCTCACAAATATGATGGTAATAAACCAGGCATGATTTCAAGAGGATGAAATTTAAAAAGAGTGTTTTCAAGTGGTAACATATAGGCATACGAATCATTTTACTGATTTTCCTTTGATTATGTGGAATTTAAGTACTGAAAAGCCTACCATGTCGCAACATTGACCTCGATGCACCAGTGAAGCTGTGAGTATATCATATGCATGGGACACCATTAGTTGTCAACACTAGTTTCAGAAATCCTTTCTGCACTGTGAGGTCCATGCTCTGAAGTCTGATATTTATCAGTATTGTCCCAAAGTAGAATACATAAGGGTTAGTTCCCAAAAGAAGTTATATTTTGGTAGATATTTAGTAATGACCCAGTCTTGTTTTCGGTATCTTTTAGATTATGAACTATTTTGGCTTCTTGGTAAGTCATGGATCAGTGCACAATACCTCTACTGGAAAGTTGATGGGCTTCTAAAGTTGGTTGCTTTTGATGTTTGGGCTTGAGCCGCACCTATCTGTTGTGTTATCAATAGATCCGAGCCGACAACTTCGACAATGTTTAGCATCTCTCGCTCATGCTCACTCGTGAAATATGACGTCGTTTTGTTACTGTTGCCACCAACTAAACAAGAATTGTTTACTTTTGGGTCATCATCGAAAAGTACCAAGCAAGAGCTTCCTTTTGGTTAGTGGGCTATTGGATTAGTCAAAGGACTTTTCAAGGGGGGAGCATGACTCGAGCATAAAGAACAGGCGGGACGACGATGCGTAAGCCTATGATCTTGCAAAGTCGTGCGGATTCGCAATGATTTGGGTTTCAATATGAAAATGAAGCTTTGTGGGGATCCTTCAAGGGTTCCTTTTTCTTCTTCTTTTTGGCCTTCGTGAACCCCTCAGCTAGATGGGTACTAACTAGAGTTTAGGTTAGGTTGACCCCAAAGAAAAACCTACAGTCTTGATTAGACGAACCCCACAATAAAATAATTGACTTGAGCTATGGCTCCATTTATTTCGCAGAAAATATATAATTTAAAAAATATTTTTCTAAATTGTACTAACTATAACACGGTTAATCCAGAACTTTTCTGTGTGATACCTAAAATTTCAAACTTGTGCTTGTGTGACACATTTACTCTCAGTCAAAATTCTTTTAATGAGAACGGTTAAAAATCTACATACATGAATGCCCAAAAGCAAACAGTGTTGACATCGCGACCATATGGCTTAAGTGAAATAAAAACATCATTGTTTTGGCTGAAAAATCTTCTAATAAAACGTTGACAGAGGGTAAATGTGTTACATAGGTACACATTTAGGGTTTTTTTATGTCACAAGAAAAATTTTAGGGTAAATATGTCATAGTGAGCATAGTTTGAGATTTTTTTATGCCACAAGAAATAGTTTAGAGTAAATGTGTCACAGTGGACATAGTTTGGGGTTTTTGGAGGCTTTTTCCCCTTGTGAACTGTGAAAATATTTTTTGTTCATTTATTATTGTAAGAGATACAAACGATCATTGTTTGGAAAATATTTTCCAATTCATTTATTTTTTACGAAACAAACGCAGCCTAATTGCTATTTTAGGGAATATTTGGGTTGAGAAAATAGCATTGTAGGCGTCTAAAAGCAAAAGGGAAAAGAAAAACATTGCATGAATTTGTCCTATTGTTGATTTTTTTTTTCTATAACTCATCAAACTCGTAGGTTAGGTATATTGCGAGCCAGAGCTCAAGTACGTGGCCCAAGTACCAACTAGTTTGTACATAGTAATGCGAAAAGTCGAGCATGTGTCATGCAATTAGTCCACACAAACAAATTCATCCCTTAATCACTCATTTAATCCGATGACTATTATTGGTTATTACAGCAAAAATATCAAAGTGGTGCAAATATATCAAAATGGATCCATGTGACTCTGATAAGGCTCCACCAACAGCGAAGTGTATGAAATTTGAGATAACTTTGAGTGACCGAGATCATAATTTCAACAGAGATCATAATTTCAACGCGGCTAAACCCTCGGATGTCTCTGCAGACTTTTTGCGATGTGCACAAAACTAGACGATTTAATCTAGTGAACTAGCATGCAAGTGTCCCTTGCACCAATATTTAAATTTTTTTTCTTGAATTTGTCTTTCGTTAGTATGCAGAGTCAATCACTACATGCCAGACAAACTCTCGTCCACGTCAAACTTTAGTGCTGTGAAAACTGAAAAACTAACGGGTCGAATTTCCATACACGCCAAACTTTATCGAACATGCCAAAGATTACACAAAATCGAGTCTAAGTATATGTGGCACTGCACGATCACATCCAATTCTATCAAATGCGGGTCATCTGTATATGGAGCCTGAGAAAATTTTCGAGTTCTCGTGCTTGTGCTTCGGGTATTTGCTAAAGGGTCCTTTGATAACATCGAACGATCAATTTTCAATGCCTACCCACCAAGAGTTTCCAAGCTCATACAACGCGATGTTCTTTAGTCTGACTTGATTTTGATCTTTTCATTGATATCGATCGATGGTGCCCATTATTATAGACTTTGAATTGCCACCGTCAACTGCGGCTTATCTTTAGGGTCTCCAATTTTGCCTACATCATTGCTTTGAAAGTGCGGTTTTAAATTTGACATGAAGTGGAAGAAGATTATAGGACAATCGCATGGAAAAGGACGAACTCCATACTCAAAATTCAACGATCCTTAAATACCACATCGGCCATATATATGTGTGTGTGTTAGAATAAAAAAAAAATACAGGTTGGAAAAACCAAGCTTTCACTAGATCAAGTAATGGGGTTGGAGTGCACTGAACAAACATCAAATGCTTTCTTATAAGGAAAATGACATAAATGGTCCCTGAATTTTAGCATAATAAATAATGCGATTCCTACTTTTAATTCGTTTAATATTGTCCTTGAACTTTGGTTCAGTGTGTAATATGGTCCATAAACTTTTAATTTGTTTAATGTAGTACATAAACTTTTGGTACATGTCTAATTTAATTCATAAACTATATGAAAATGTTCAATATTGTCCCTAATTTTGAATTAATAGAAGAATCGCATATAATATTTTCATATAGTTTAGGGACCACATTGAACATATACCAAAAGTCAATGAATCACATTAAACAAATTAAAAGTTCAGGGATCATATTGCAC